CGCCCCATCCAACTGCACCTGCTGTCGTTTTATCGGCCCAGTCGTCATCACAAACATCACCTGGTGCTGACCACACCCTGGCTAGTACCACACCTTCGTTGGTGACTTGACAATGCCAACCTTACGGGAGGGCGAGCTTTCCACAGTCCCAAGCCGTCAGTGACTATCACAACAGATGCTTCACATTCTGGCTCACCAGCCATGGTTCCCAAAACTCTTGATTCACCGTCCGGTGATTCTTCACAGAGAGCGGACATCCTGTTCCAGCCCAGCTCGGGTTTTCTTCACCTGGCTCCGGGGGATCTTCACCTGACGTGCTGGGCACTATCAAGGAGTCCCTTTGCACAGCAGTCCTTTCTGAACGAGCTGCGGCCATTGCAGCCTGCAGCCGTTGCAGCCTGCAGCGGACGAGCATCTACCAGAAAAATTTATGACAGTAGATTACGCCATTTTGGTGTAAAATCCCATCTCTGCATCCCTCCAATACTTCTGTAGGGGAGGTAACATACTTCTTGTATACCTCTTTGAAAGTGACCTTACTGTGGCCACCACTAAGAATTATCGTTCTGCTGTAGCAGCTATACATGGAGGCTTTTTGGATGGTTCCTCGGTGTCAGATAATCAAACTCTCAGCCAACTACTCAGGAGGATGTTTGTTTCAAACACCCCCCCCCCCCCCCCGACGTGTAGGCTATTACCAGCATTGGATCTCTTTATCATCTTATCGACCTTATCGAGACCCCTATTTGAATCAATGGGCAGCTCAACGTTGTTGCAACTGTCCATTAAAGTTGTTAAATTTTCTATTAGCAGTGGCTATGTCTAGGCGAAGTAGCAAACTGCATTTGCTTACTGTGGTTCCGGTGGGAACCGGTGGGAACCAGGTGGTGTACACTATTCCTAAATCAGGTTTTCTGACTAAAAGTCAGTCGGAGTCCTTTGCACCCCTGACATTTTTGTACCGGACATTAAATCCTTCTTGTCAGTTTCTCGTGACAAATTCTCTTCAGCAGAGTCCGTCTCGAGCTATTCTTTGTGCTCCAGACGTTAGTCCTCGCCGGAGCTCTTGATCCATCAGCATAAAACATATGTTGTTACAGGGTTTCCAGCAGTTATTGGCCATGATAGCATTGTTGGTTCCTTAACCGACTTGGCAAACTTTGGCAGCGAACATATTACTGTTAGCCCTTCACAAGATCATTGGGATGTCAGTTTTTCCCTCCGATTCAGCAGAGAATTACCAGGCACGGATTCCACTCATCATTCTTCCTAACACCAAAGAAGAACCCCGGCGAGTGGCGTTCCCATACTGAATCTGAAACCCTTAAACAGGTTTATTCAGGCAAAAAGATTCAGGATGGAGACACTGCGGTACAGTTCTCGAGGCTCTACCGGTACCAGCTTGGGCATCCTCACTAGATTTACAGGATGCATACCTACATGTTCCAATTTCAAAGGACCATGTTCACTTCCTTCGGTTTCAGTACGACGGAAAAACTTACGAGTTTAGTTGCCTTCCGTTTGGTCTTTCAACAGCCCCAGAGGTGTTTACCAGAATAGCAAAAACTGTTGCATCAATTCTGTGGAAACAGAACATTCAGATTTTTGTTTACCTCGTCGATTAGCTCGTCGTGGGCTGAACCAGAGACAAAATTCTAAGGGCAATCAGTCTAACACAAGAACTAGCAGTCCGGTTGGGCTTCCTGATAAATAAGAAAAAGTCTCAGCTGGAGCCTTCCACACGGCCCATCTATTAAGGGGCTGAGTTGGATCTCCTGCAGGGCATTGCTGTGCCTACACAGAAAAGAATTTACAATCTAATAGAGTGTGTAACAAAATAGCTCCGGTCATAGCATGGTTACGGCTTCTGGGGCCCATGGCCAGTTTGGTGGACATAGTTCCGTGGTGCAGATTAAGGAAGCGACTCATTCAACTCCATCTTCTTGCCCAATAACTCATCTCGTACCAGTGGTTCGATATTTTCAAACACATCTATGTAACGTAGGTCTGTCTTTCATTCCAACCAAACCAAAAATTACCTTAATAACGGATGCTTCCAACCACAGTTGGGGGCGCATTTGGCACAGAATCAGTTGTAGGGAATTAGAACCCAGACGAGAGGGTCCTTCCTCCATATCAACGTTCTCAAACTGCTGGCTGTCAGAAAAACACTGATCCATCCATCGCTCGATAAAAGGTCATGCAGTGCTAGTGAAGTCCAACAACTCCACCGTTGTCTCCTACATAAACCATCAAGGGGGCACACGGTCCCCTCAGCCATGTCTACACACTTGGGATTTCCTAATGTGGTGCATAACGTTGATGGCACTTCATTTTGCTGGCAAGCTGAACCTCATGGCAGATGCTCTCTCTAGGGGAAAAATTATCCTGACAGAATGGACACTACACCCAACGGTAAACAGTTTTCCTGCTAGCAGCGGCTACCGCCAGGAGATGCAGTGAGTTGCATGCCCTTACCATAGAGCAGGGTCATGTACATGTACAATGGGAACCGCATGGAGTTCGACTGATCCCTCATAAAATGTTCCTGGCAAAGAATCAGTCATCAACTTTCCAACCATCTGATATTTTTATTCTGGAGATAAAAACCATCTCTTACATCGGAGATGACAAACTCTGGTGTTTGGTTCGGGCCCTCAAGTGGTATTGCTCCCGAACTAAGCCCCTAAGGGGCTAGACCACGCAGCTGTTCATTAAGACAACTCAGCCTTATTCAGGGGCATCACGGGACACGATCTCCCGATGGATAGTTAGGACAATCAACTCTTCTGTACCAGATTGGCCTACACATGCAGAGAACACTGCCCATGCTCATGACACGAGAGCATTAACGACATCATGGGCATTTTTGAAAGGCGTTCCTCTGCCAAACATTCTACAGGCAGCTGCTTGGAAAACGCCATCAACCTTCGTCGCGTGCTACCTGAAGGACATTCTATGTTCAGAAGGTCAAACTGGACGAGTAGCTCTCTCGGCTGCCATGGCATCTCATCTCAACCGTCAGGACAGGTTGACTGCCTCCAACACCTAGTCAACTAGAACTCCATATACATGTAGTAGGTGAGTTTCTTTCCACATACTTTGGTAATGTTTACCTTTCAATTTTGGTGAGGCCGCGAGTGGACATACCCGTACCAATCTAATCCAGGTAGTGCAGTACCTATGGCAGCCTCACCCTAGCCCTCCTCCTATAGACGGTGCTAATCTATGCAAATGTAAGGTTTAACAGGTAAGAGAGTCCCAGAAGTGGACTCCCCCAAATCAAAGGTGATTTGTGAGTCCACGAGGGGACAATACTTACCTGTTAAACCTCCCACTCTCCTTCCCCACTTGGGGCTCGTAAAGTGCTTGCGATAGAGATAAAGAGGATGAGATTACCAGACTGATGCAAGTAATGAGGGCTTGGGCGCTGAAGGCGCTATTTACTAAGGGAATAAATGTGTGCTCGAGAGGTTTTTATCACTCTGTTTAATACCGCTTAGAGTCTGGGTGCTGATAATTACCCGAGCCGGAGGCGAGGGTAATTATCAGCACCCAGACTCTAAGCGGTATTAAACAAAGTGATAAATACCGACCGAGCACATATTTATTCCCATTCATAAATACCTTATCCTTAAAAAAATTCAAATAATTCGTTCAAAAAATCCCGATTTTGTTCAACAAGTTCACTTCGTGCTTTTTGAAACATCCCTCTAGCAAAATAATGGAGTGTTCAGCTGGCGAGTAAGATGTAAACAACCCTTTTATGGAGATTGACGCGCGCGTAGCATGTTCTGCGCGATGTCACGCAGAACGCACCTGGGGCGTTGCGTCTTGAATTTAGAACTATACAATTCCGACTCGCACGTAGTGTTGCGCATGCCTACGTGAGGATTGTGAACGTTCAACCAATGAAACGGTAAGAGGCACTGGATTTTTAGGAGTCCACATTTTATTGTGACACTGGAAAAGTGTTTAAGACCAGCTAGCCATGTCTTTATCATCCGTTTAAGACCGGCCACGTGACGGGCTCTCGACCAATAGGAATAGCTAAACTGTCTGAGGTATTTATGAATGTGGTATAAAACGCTAGCATTTGGGAGCCTTAGGCTAGAGAAATATGTAAATGTAAGGTTTAACAGGTAAGTATCGTCCCCTCGTGATGGACTCACAAATCACCTTTGATTTGGGGGATTTTTTTGTAGACCCCAACCACACTTCTGTGGGGCGGGGGGATTTTATGACATCATGTTTAATGGTCTGTAGCATGCACAATGATCGAAGCACATGTAAAAATTTGGCCAGGAGCCCAGAACTATTGCCCAGAACTCAACGTGCATTTGACTACGAGGATATAGAGCTATTGAGGCAAGTTATATCGCATACATGTATTTGATTTGTTTTTAATATCTCAATCAATATCATGGTGAGATCATGTCAATTGTAGCTCTGTGGTCTCTGGAAACGTGCCAAAATAGATTACATCATTATAATTGCACTGTTACGTTAAGTGCAATTTCCAAGTGATTCAGAAGATTCTGCTTTTTATTAATGGAAGCAGACTTTTATTTTTGTTTATTTATTTGGTCTTATCGGTAATTTCTGCTTATATTATCCACCATAAGTTGGATAAGGCTGATATTCAAATGAAGTAATTTGTGGTCCAATTTACCACAGTTGGGGCGATTTGACGGCACGGTAAGCTATGGGGTGGGTTGGCAAGGGAATGACTTGGTCATGGGGTGAGTTGTTAATGGGGGAGAGGTGGTATGGGGCAAGCTGGCTAGGGTGCGAGTTCATGAGAACCCATGTACTGGTATTTTGTTCCCTGACTTGGCTTTTCTGGTAAATAAAGCTGCAATCTACTGGTTTGTGTTCAAGATAATGAAGCATCGTAAATAACAAACCATAAGGAATCAAAAAGAATCTGTCAAACAAAGCTCGATTTCCTCTTAAGGAAAACAGAAAAACTCAGTTGTTTCATTGTGACTCTTATACAGGTTGGCCATAAACAGTGCCCAGTTTCTGACGTCAATTCTGGGGATCATTGATCCTATCCACAGACAGAAAATCTCCCTGAAAGCCATGGATGTTGTTTTATTTGGACCTCCAAAACGTAAGCTTCATCTTCCATATGTTCCTTTTAGTGGACCAGCCAAAGTGGAATATTACACTTTGGATGGCATGTTTTGGTAATAGCAGGCAACCAAGTCAGATCAATCAGTCGAAGGATGGAGAAGAAAATGTAGGTGGATGCCACCCTACATTTTGACCCTAATATACCTCATTTGCATAAATTGTTAATCCCTGCAGTGTAATATATTTATTCCCATATTTGGGTATATTCTTTATTTTTTTATTTTTTGAAAAGCCTTATTTTGGTGATTCTAATTACAAACCTTACTTAACTCTGTCAGTGCCCGCGAAATTTGAAAAGTTTAACCTTACTAAAGTGCCCAACTTCGAGCATTTTTTTATTTGTTCAAAATTCCGTTAAAAAAAAAGGAAATAAGTTTTACTCACTAAAGTTGTTGTTGTTGCTTTCTGGTATATCCTTGGTACATTGGAAAGTCAATAGTAGTCATGTACATAGTGCTACTACCTGAAACACTGTCTTGCACACGGGGGAATTCCGCACTTTTTGCAGAAAATACAAGTGTCAGTGCTGTGCCCTCTCGCAAGGACTCGAATGAAACAAATAAATACAGGTCGTACTTGAATGAAAATGATATTATTAGAAAGAGTGAGAGCGCCCCCTTGTGATAACATGCTTACTCTACCTCGTACATGTACGAGGTTTGGCGATTTTAAGTACGAACATTACCTCATACATGTACGAGGTTGGCAATTTCGAACTAACAAATATACCTCGTACATGAACGCCTTTGGCACTGAAAGAGTTAAATAACATTTTCTTAAACAAACAGGATGAGTAAAAAAAAAGCGGAACCCAAACCCCAAACAATATATTTGTGGGGTTTGGGTTCCGCTTTGTTTGACTCACCCTGTATAAAATTACTCTAGAGTCATTTCGTGTAAATACTTCATATAAGTGTCCACGCTCAAAAAATCGAATTTTTTTATACTTCGTGGGATGAAAGGACTTGGGGAGCAAGTAACCAAAATAGACTTTTTAAACTTTTATTTTGCATGTTGCCATGGTTACGGGCCATTATGTGTTTTGACCATTTTGGGGCAATTTTGAGGCTGCAAAAATTCATTTTTTTGTGCTATTTTCAAAGGTCATCAAGGCAAACTGCGAAGTAATGTCACAAAAGTAACTATATCACGACAAAGTATCATCCTTACCCTTACAAGAAAAAAATAGAAACACTTCTAAAAAAATCACTTTTATTTTATTTTTAATAGGCACTACAATACAGCATGTTTTTACAACTAGCAAAATCGTATTTTTTACCCCATTTTTAATCCTCCAAAATGGCACTTGCCAGGGCACTCAGAATAATTTTCCTTTGGCTATGGTTAGTTCAGACATTGGTCTTTTTATATCTGGTGAGAAAATGTTGGGTTATTGTATATCCTTTGTGCAGTAGCGCTCCAAAAATGGTAATTTTCACAAAAACTTTAAAAAGTGTATTTTCAGTTTTTTTCCTTTGTTTTGAGTACTAACTTTTATAATTGGTATTGTTCAAGAATCTAATACATTTTCAAAAACAGAATCACACTGTGTATCATTTTTTAGACCAGTGGATGAATAGTAGGTCCTGTAGTACCCCCCCCCCCCCTTGGCTTTGTCGGTAAAATCATTGTCACATGGGTAAAAATCATGTGTTTGCAAGCCGCAATAAATACTAATAGCCATATCCATTGTCCTCTGATTGAAGTGCATCATTATTCAAATGATGTTTAGTCCTCCCCGCCCAGCTAGGCCCCGCCCCTTCCCTTGCCACCAAATTTAGATTTTGATTTCTACATGTATTTGCCTAAATTAAATTGTAAATACTAGATATCGATTTGCAAGTGAATCTTTTACAATCTACACCAACAGCCGTCTCACAGCCTATCCCCTTCCTCTGCCACCCCCACTCCTAATGCACATAAGAGAAGCCTGCCCTCTCCCCCAACAAGTCAACAAGTACAATTTTGTTCAGATTACATACACTGCATGTGGCCTTGGAGAAAGTCTGAATATAAAGGTGGCTTATTTACAACACGGGGCAGTTTGGAATATCCGAAAAGTGAGGAGGAGAAGGGGTGTGTATGTCACGGGGGTGGGGGGTGGGGGAGGTTTGGAAGAGTGATCTGGACACGCGCATATGTACGCTATACATATTTTTTTTTTTTTTTTTGCAAATTACTTTTGGAATAACAGTAAAAGTGTGGTGAACAAAATGATTTTTTTTTAAAAGTATTTTCAAAGCGGAAAGATCTGGCGATTTTGAGAGCAACTAACTCTTATTTGTTTATATTGAAATACATGTACTTTAAAACAAGGATCACTCCAGTAGGCTTGGGCGAATCCAGCATTTTTGGAATCGATTCCGATTTTGTCTGGGAATCGCAATTCCATTCGGAATCGATTCCATAATTTATGCAAACAAATAATATCAACAACAAAAATTCAAAAAAAAAAATTTCAAAAAAATTACAAATCAGAAAACCCAACAAAACAAACAAACACATTACAATAAAAACGCAAATAATGAGGTCATTGTGGGTGTAATGGCTTTCTTATAGTCATTTAATTATAAAACGAAAGTCACGTTTTGGGCAGGAAACACAATAAAATAAATGTTCGACAACTTTTGTTTCCCCTGCGGAAAACACGCAAGATCAAAATCAGAGCTCACCTAAGTTCGGCACTATCAATCAAAACAGTTGAAAATATTGTGGAAATCACCCTGAAAAACTGGCATTTTCCATCGAAATGGTCGCCAAACATAATATTGTTGTTTTCTCTTAGTTCCATATTTTTATGTACGATCAACATTTTATTTGGCAGCGTGATAATCATATCGGAATACATAGAATTTCTCTGCGCGATTTCATTTTTGATGGTCACGTTATCGCGGCATGGATCGCTGGTAAACGATTCAACACTACATTCACGATCAATCGCCAAGTACCAGTCACTTCATGCCATTCATAAAAACACAATTTTCTACTACGCAGTTCTCATTCGCGTACGGACCCTGGAAACTTTTGATGTTGATGCGACTTGACTTTGCCGTTCTTGGACTTTTGAATATAGCTTTAGAAGTTGGGACATTGCCAATGAATACATACGTGTACCTACGAAATTTACAGGAATATTTTTAATATTTTAATTTATTTTCCCCGATCTTTTGCCGATCCACCAGTCCGACTATTTTACAAGATTGTGTCTCATAGCATGTGAATTGCGATTGCACAAGCAAAATTTATAAAATCGAACCACGCCCTCGTGGCACGATGTGCACATAAAGACATCACCTGGTTGGGTCGTGAAAGGGGAAAACGAGACCAACTTGCCCATCAAATGACAGCATACACAGGCCCTCAGCACGTGCTCATCTACAAAGGGAATTCCCGAGATGAGAAATACAGATTGGTTGTCAAAACACGTGACGGCTCCACATTACAGAGTACATGGGCGCCCCAGATTTTCCGCTCGCTTACGTTCGGCTGGTGTTTTATTCACTGCGGTTTTTAGGTATGAAATGCTTTTATGGGAATGATTTTTCACCTCGTATGCATGTGGAACTTTGCAGTTCATATTTGCCATATTTAATGCAGGGATTTGTTTTTCGAAAATAGCCGGCGATTCATAGCCACTTGCCGGTTGTTTCAAACGTAAGTGCAGGACTGTATTGGTTTTTGATGGGGAAGGACAAAATAATCCGAGACAAATCATTTTTTCTTCCTGGATTTTACAACAATCTTTTCAAATTTTCGGGAGCTGCATACCGTTTCCAGTGGCTGTGAAAAATTTCTGTGATGATAGGAAACCTGATTTGCTGAGACAAATGAAAAGTTTACTTCAAAGAAAGAAAATCATTTCGTGATATATAATATGTACATGTAGCAGCAGGCAGGCGCGGCCACGTCGACAAATAGGCCGTTCCAGCGCGGCGCCGGCTGCCTCTGTATTACACAAATAAAATAGCTCACTTTGTGATATTTAATATGCCGTGGAGCTGTTAAAGCTTTTTGTAAGAGGACGGCTTCATCAGAGAGATGTACTATCGGTTTGTCTTTGACGCACTGCATACTTTTAAAACTGTAAAGGGGCCGTTTTGTTAAAGAATCGAATGTTCTTTGAAGGCGCGTTTGAGTTGGCCGGTCTTCAAAATCGTCGCGCGAAGACTGGAATCGACGCTCGGGGAACTGGAATCGGCTACATCAGAGAATCGATTCCTCAAAAAAGTGGAATCGCAATTCCGATTCCGAGGTTGGGGTCGATTCTATTCGATTTCGGTGTGGATTCGCCCAATAGTAAACTCCAGTGAAACTCCGAGAGATAACAGCATCAATTTGATTAAATGAATTTCACTCTGACTTTTAACAGTGGTCACCATGGCACCAAACACACTTCTGTAGTGTGTTCATTTTTACCATGGCAACCGATGTAAATACATCGGTGGTCATAAACTAAAGTCAAAAATACTTCCATTTTCAAAACCTATCACGAAAGTATTATCTTTAGAGTGAAATTCATGGCTATATAATTAACAACAATACCTGCTCATTATGTAATGTGGCCGCCATTGGTGCGAGAAGCCCATGTAATTTTCACCTTTCAATCTGTACCATTTTCTTTGTTTTGATGTACTTTTCTGATAGTTATTACATGAATCAATTGCAGAGCAATAAATAACATCACCAAAATTTACTTCAGTTTTGCCAATTCGGGTTAACAATCCACACATTTTTGGAATAAAATCAGTAAGTACCGGTATATAGTCCCTATGGCAGTGACAATGGATGCATACAATTACATGCATACCAATAATGTTTGTTCTAAATATAGAACCATTTACACATAAAATACAAAAAGTATGCCCAAAATGTTATCTAGAGTTTGGAAATATATAGAAAAACACCTCTAGTGGTAGCAACAATACATGTATAACCAAGAATGTCATATTATAGAGTAGTGGTCAACCAATATTTTCCTGCCAAATCAGTTGTGTAGGAAAATCGGTCGAAGCATATATGCAAATCAACATGGGGATCACAATGTGCTGTACCTCTCCCTTTCAGAAAAAAACCCCAAATACTCGCCAGAAAGGGTTAAAATCTGTACATTGGCGGATCCAGCGGGGGGCACGGGGGCGCATGCCCTCCCCCGGCAAATATTTTAAAATGTATACTGTGATTGGTGAAAAGCGGACGGTGATCCGACGGGCCACGCGTTTTGAGTTCGAGGAAGAACATCATTCAAAAGGCTTAACTACACGAAGATGTACGTACGTATGTGTAGTCCGACGTACATGACACATACGTGCACACGTACCGAAGGCTAAAATAGTTCGCGCGCTTCAAAAATTTTAATCATAGCATGTACATAACGTAAGCGCGGCCTGCCTCGCGCCTAGCTGTCCGCCGGCCATTGCATTGCTTAGTCCAAGTGAAACACGTACATGCACACGTGCCCGTGGCCGTGGTTGAAATGGTATGCCGACATTTACGTTATGGTTTGTTCTTCGCTGTCCCCTGCTTTTTACCACCAGAGTACGTCCTGCGCGAAATTTCGTGTATGGGACCAGCGAAGGTTTGTGCATGCCGTAGGTGCGCAGTTAGTTCAGTGCACACGCATAAACTCATTCTCCATGAACTGATGAATGTTTTCCAAGCTGTGGGCCGACACACATTGTAAACAGTACAAGGTAGGCCTAAGGTGTTTATTTCCATCAATAGGACTATTTATAGTTTGTAATTACAGACGTTATGTTACGTACGATTATAAAGGCCTATAAACGGCGAAGGCCTAGTGTCTATATTTCGAATCGTCAGACCCCCTTATATGACGAGGATATTTTTTGACGCACTCGCATTCAATTTGCATTGGACAATGCGAGCGCATTGCAAGCATTACCTACGTCAATGGTGACTCACGGGTACAGCATGGTCAGATGGTAGGCTTGAGCCAGCCTTATCCGTACATTTGTGTATGTATATCGTGTTTGGGAACTATAGGCCTAAGTGGGTGCGTGTGCCTTGTGTGGCTATCCTGTGCTTAGCCCTAATCTGTGAATGAACTTTCATTTAGAGTATAATAAAGCAACCCTTTTTTCAGGCGACTTGAATACAATCATGTAACATCTTACTTATGCCCGGCGCGTATACTCACTCTACACGTGTGTATGTACATGTATATAATTTATAAATTGCAAGGTTTGGTTGATGACCGTCGTTGCCTAGTGGTTAGGCAAGCTGGCTCATGGTTAGAATGTCCCGGGTTAGTTTCCTTCCCTATCTTTCACTCAGGGTTTTTTTTTTTTCAAACCTTTTTAAGTTTTATTTGATAAATATCATTTTCCAGTTGGATACTAATTGTATAGCAGCGATTTTTCTTTTTCTTTTCTGATTCGAGGCTCTGGGGGATTTTTTTAAAAAGGAAAACAAAGTCCGAAATTCACACCAGATTTAAATAATACTAGCTTCCACTCAAGCCTGGTAATATTAACTATGCTCCATAGGAAAGAACACAAATTTACCCATGCACTGAGGTAGACTCTGCATGCTGGGCCATGAGGCTTTGAAAATATATATAAAAAACACACATTTTATTGCAATCATTCAATCATACTGGCAAGGCGGGATCATTTACCTCGCAATATTCCCCCCTAAATTAGGACTTCCCCGTGCTTCCTTCTGGTGTAGTTCGTCTCTTATTAAAAATTAATTTGTCAACCGAAGTAGAAGACAGTGCATGACAGGCAGCTATATAGCCGAGTTTAAGTAGTCTGGTTCTCTGACCAAAATGTTTCTCTTTCTTTAACGTACACACGTGAAGGGCACCACGCCTGGTATATCATATCCGAAAAAAACATCGCATTCGGGATCAGAACAGCCAGCCAAAGTCACAGTGCCGCGCAGCTCGATTCAGCATATAAATACTCTAGACGCGCATACTGTGATTGGCTGTTCTGATCCCGCATGCAATGTTTTTCTTGGATATGATACGGCCAAAACCAGGCATCCAAAGAAAATATATTAATTCGCAGAAATGTAATGCCACGCAAATGTGAGTTTTCCCCACTACAGGAAATATAATGCTACGAAAATAATGTGTTTTACAGTATGTGAGGATGTGTATGTATATGTGTTGGCGAACTTTAAATATTAGGCCTGAATGTTTTATCTCAACAGTTACACATTGAAAAGATAATAAACCGGAATTTTCAGAGGGATTTATGATCCGATTCAAAGTCATTGACCTTCATTTTGCGAGCTGATTGCAGTACCAAGTCCACGAAATACATCCACTTTTGAAATGAAACATCAAAAAATAATTAACTTTCAACTAAAAAAAATCAACCTTTGAAATGAAACATCAACAAATAATGTATGACCCTACTTGATGACGCTATTAATGAGGTTAATATAAAGTGATCAACACATAATTAAAACATAACCTCGCGTTTATAGTGCAATGATATTTATAAACATCTAATATGAACGAGATCTCTAATAGCAAACGTTTACAATAATTTTGTTTTCTCCAGATGCCGAGGGATAAGTGGCGAAAAGTTAACGGAGACTGCAGCACTTTGCAATATTTCAAGAAATGTATGGTTGTACCGGCAGCATCGATTGTTCATGATCCTCGGGAAAGAGAAGAGAACATCCTTAAAGAAAACATTTTCTACCCCCGTAGTACTAGGCCTACAACAGTCGGGGATATAGCTAGGTACAACGATGGTCACAAAGTTATGCAAACGTACCAATAAAACATAGAAATGGGCTGCCCCAGTTTTTTACTTCAATGTTTTATTACAAAGTTAATTTTAAAAAAACCCAACACTTTGCATATGGTGAACAATTTAAGGATCCAAGCACATTTAGAATGCTATATACACCATAGACACTCGAAATAAGATTTTTATTTGAAATAATTATGTAATCAAAGTTGCTATTTCCATAGTGTTCACAATTTGTGTGGGTGTGTGTGTGCAATTGAAACCAATTCAATGTCTTGCTGTGTTTGCTGTATAATGGGCCCTATGTCAGTTATTTTACTCATCGTAAACTTTGGCCTCCGTGTGTTGGATTCTACGTGTATTCCAATCACCGTTGCTCCTTATTATATGTTTACATGTGCATGATCGAACGTGTGGTTCAATAATATTAAAAGCGAATGAAAATGTAGATTTGTCAGTAATGTAGGCAACTCTACCTCAAAAGACCTCTAGTTGGTGGAAGGGGAATTGTAAACCATGTCGCGTTTCAAAAGTGAATGATTTGTATTGTGAGTGCTTCATGGAGAGGAATCATTTGTCTGGGAAATTGTGTGGGGATTGAACTTGAAATACCACAAACAATCATACTCAACAAGCAAGGACAAATTCACCAAATCTTCCGAAATGATTTTAGGTCTATCGACTATGTACGAATCAAAGTGTCTGGTTTATTTGATGTGATGACTTTGGAAATGTCCTTCAAATAAAAGATACTGAAAAGCATATATATTTCTTTCATGATTTTCTTTTCTTTTCACCATTTCGACTGATATTGAGCAACATGCATGTTAAATAAAGTTGTCATCTATATTTGAGGTATACATTTTCGTTGAAAATAATATTTTATAGATAAGATTGGACTATGAAATCTAATATACACCCCAGTTAGAAATTACCCACATGAGTGATTTGGACCATGCGTTCCTTTGACACTACTGAAATGAATTCAAACCATATATTAGGGTTTGCCCTTCACCGACTGATGTGTACTCGGGCTCCTGTTCTTGAAAAGTTTCCTCCAAACGAATCCGCATTAGTGTTTGAGTCCATCATCTCACGAAGACTATATACGCATATCGGTAGAATTTGTATGTTGACTCATCAGCGAATGGCTGAGGCTCGGACTACCAGTGGCCTAAATCCCTTTCCAAAATAAAATTTGTGAAAAAAAATACAGAGATGGAACATGGTTCTCAACTTTGAGTACATAACAAACTTTATAAGAACAAAATAATAACACCTTGAAATGGAATTTTCAATGTTTAAAACGTTTTCTAAATGGTGGAAAGTGGCCAGGAATCGCCTCAGATTGCACCACAGAGAATCTAAAGTCCAAATTTTTCCGGGGCACTTAAGCAGGCCCCGGACCCCACGTCGTAAGGGCTTCGCGCTCCGCGCTCCGCGCTCCGCGCTCCGCGCTTGCATGTCCTGGACCCAAGCTCATAAAAATAATTCCAGCCTCCCCGGCAAATGGCAGTCTGGATCCCCCCCTGCTGTAAGCACTTGGTTAGGTGGGGAAGTTGATATGTTTTAATAAACACATTAACAAAACATTCCCTGTTGTATGCCAAAAAAAATCTAATTTATAAGCACCGATACATTTAAAATTGCTTGCCATGCAACAATGGATGCACCACAGAAGTGTAGCCATATTGACTACTGATGCAATTATGATTTTGGAGGGCATAGCAGCACCCACAACGGTACTATATTTGACTTTATATGTACTCGATCTGACCATAACTACACGTTGGGCCAAGACAGTTCAATCAATCAAAATAGAAGCCGTTTTGAGTTTTCACTAGAGTGATAGTTGTTTTAAAGTTCATGTATTTTAATATAAAAATATGAGTATTTTGCTCTCTAAATTGCCATATCACTTCTCTGTATTGAAAATAATATTATAAATTCAATTTAAAAAAAAAAAAAAAACAGCTTTTTGTACGATGTACATGTATCCATATTCCCCCCTCCCCCCCCCCCCCCGCGCTTTCCAGATATTCCAAACCACTCCCACATTGAAAAAAAAAATTGCCACACCTACATAGTGCTTATAAACATGTGGACTTTCCGCTAGGCAATATGTAACTTTAACAATAATACATGTTGATATCTTTGGGAGGGGAGGGGTCGTTGCTCATAATGAGCACTGGAGTAGGAAGAGGCGTGACAGGGGGGTGCATGGGCTGTGAGATGGGTACGGCTGTTGGTGTAAATTATGAAAGGTTCACTTGCAAATTGATATCTATTTACAAGTTTAATGTAGGCAAATACAAGTAGCAATCAAAAAATTTGTTGGCAAGGGAAGGGGCGGGGCCTAGCTGGGAGGGGAGGACTAGACATTATTTTAACTAATGGATGCACTTCAATCAGAGGACAATGGATATGGCCATTATTATTCATTGCGGCTTGCAAACACATGATTTTTGCCCATGTGACAATGATTTTACCGACGAAGCCAAGCTATTGGTGGGTGGTCACACCCCACCCTCAACCCCAAGCAATGCCTCAGGGGTGGGGAAAGGGGAGGCTGTGAAAAGGAAGTCTATGTAATTTCCAAAGTGTTCAAAGTGTTCATTATTTATTTTCATTTGTTTTGTTATATGCAACATACAAGTTCTAAATTCGGTGGCAAAGGGGGAGTGGACGGGGCCTAGCCAGGTGTGGGGGGAGTACACGACCTACTATTCATCCACTGGTCTAAAAATGATACACAGTGTGATTCTGGTTGTGAAAATGTGCTAGATTCATGAACAATACCAATTATACAAGTTATTACTCAAAAGCAAAAGAAAAAACTGAAAATACATTTTGTTTTAGGTATTTGTGAAAATTACCATTTTTAATGCGCTACTGCACAAAGGATATGGGTCATTCCATGTCAGACCAACGCACTTTTTTACCTCATGTCTTCCGATTTTGATAAAAATTGCTGTGCTTATAGGTCCTGATGAGCATGTCTTCTTCTATCAGAATCTACCAAAAATCAATTGGGGTCTTCAAAATTTACAACTTTATGACTATTTTTGTACAGTTGGTAGGTTACAAATGAGTAAATTTATAGACTTTACCAGTGTTGGAGCAAAGGCTTTGACCCTCAAGGCCAAGGCCAAGGCCAAGGCTTTGACCCTCAAGCCTCGAGGCCAAGGCTTAATCCTCAAGGCCAAGGCCAAGGCCCTGTTTTATGAAATGACCACTGATATAGAACTAATTATAGTCACATGAGTGAAACATCATCAAGCAAGGGCGGATCCAGAACACAATTTGGGGGGGGGGCAAAGAAATGTTGGTCCCCCCCAAAAAAAGTGGGTCAAAGAATTACGGCTTGGGCTTCGGGGCCCACTTAAGGGCCCCGAAAAAATTTTGGATTCGAGATGCTCTGTGATGCGATTTGAGGCAATTTCTGACCATTTTAACCGATGTTTTTTGAGGAAAAGATGGTGGTGTACTCACTGCCTGCCTTTATTACGACGTCACAACAACAAAAATGGTTTCGTTTTTTGTTGGGGGGGGGGGCATGGCCCCTTTTGGCCCCCCTGGATCCGCCCTTATCATCACGAATTGCTCGTTACGAAGAACAACATTTCTTTAATTGCAATCAACATGCTCGCATAGGCCTACACCGTTTTATGACTGCACTGTATCTACGGTGTATTAAAGTATAAGTTCAGGTCTTCAATATGGTTTAACTAAACAAAATAATGATTTACTTCTATATTGACACACAATTCTCCCAAGTGTAACAAAAGGGGGATCCAAGAAACTGATTTGGGAAATTTGTATTTGCTGGCCCAACATGGTCAGAAATATCAGCATTATCTAAAACAGATACATGCAAATCTTTAGCATTTATCAAGGAGAAATACAACCAATCAGATCTATTCCATAGTTATATGCAATTAAAGTGATCATCTCATTAGCCCCACAAGTGTGCGGAATATTGTTGCAGCAAATCTACTTCAATGGTAACAACATGTGATGCTATAAAAGTGGAAGTGTGCCCAACACACAAATCTATATGGTGCTTCCCTCCTCCATCGTAATACGATTAAAATGGTAACAGCAAAATTTCAAACAGATTTATCTGGAAAATGCAAAAATCTATGGGCCTTGAAGAGCCTTGACTCAAAATTGCAAGGCCCTGAACCCTCAAGGCCAAGGCCAAGGCCAAGGCTTTTGCCCTTAAGCCTCGAGGCCAAGGCCAAGGCCCTAAAATCCAGCCTTAAGGCAGCCTTAAGGCCAAGGCCCAGCATCAAGGCACTACATCACTGGAATTTACATTAGAAATCCACCAACACAACTTACTATTCTGTTTCTAAAGCTACTTAAATTAATCTTGGTTTGGGAATTTCTCATGTTTAGGGCTGATGAGGTCTAACCAGACTCATGATATAAATTATCAGCAGTGGCGCACCCAGGATTTGGCTTTTGGGGGGGGGGGGCTCATAGCTTTTTGTTTTCAAATTTCTGTAGAAAATTGCAATTGTGAAAAAAAAAAATTACCCAAAAATCAAACAAACAAATTGACAACCTTGGAGGGGGGGGGGGGGGTACAGCCCCTGGAGGCGCCCCCCCCCCCATGCCACTGATAATTAGTTATCCCACAAGTGCGCTTTGAATTGAGGCCCCCACCCACCCCGGGGTGCCACTGATAATTAGTTGTCCCACGAGCCCGCTTGGAATATGAAACAATGCAGTGATGAATGAGTAAGGTAACTTTGATTGCGATATTGCGATATCTTCAATCAACCTTGAATCCTACCCCCTGATTAGTCCATCTATAGCAACAACAGTGTGATTTGATATAATATTGCACAGCTATATTGCACCCCAGATATCGAATGTACATGTACATTTTTATTTGCAGTTTTATTTGCATCTTTTTATTTGCTGCTGAACGGTCCGATACACTATGCACCTACATCCCTCACCACGTACAATGTAGGCATCCGACGTCAAGTTTGCGGGAAGATAAATTCGTTATGGCTCGTGGAACACGGAATAATGTACGGTAGTGCGTCAGGTGGCATACGGGTCACAGCAGCATTGCATTGTTTCATATTCCAATATTCTTCTACAGAAATTTGAAACAAAAAGCTATGAGCCCCCCCCCCCCCCCCCCACATAAAAAAAGCCAAATCCTGGGTGAAATTTATATTATGAGTCTGATTAGACCTCATCAGCCCCAAACATGAGAAATTCCCAAACCAAAATTAATTTAAGTAGCTTTAGAAAACAGAATAGTAAGTTGTGTGGGTGGATTTCTAATGTAAATTCTATAAATTTACTCATTTGTAACCTACCAACTGTACAAAAATAGTCATAAAGTTGTAAATTTTGAAGACCCCAATTGATTTTTAGTAGATTCTGATGGAGGAAGACATGCTCTATCAAGTCGTTTTCATTTCGTTGATTTTCGGAATGATACATTAGTACATAAATTGGGTCAAAAGTCACGATAACATATTAAAGGTCACGTGACCTTTTCACAAAATTTATTTTTGACAAAAGAGTTGATTTGAGCATGCAATTCTTATTATTTAATACCAAATTCGCATATATTCGATGAAAATTGACATGGTTTTGACATATTTCTACCAAAAGGGTGAGATTTTACTCTAAAAATGCCCTGACCACATGGTAGGTCGGATCGGGCTAAAAATTGGTGTGCATTCATTGCTCATCAGGACCTACAAGCACAGCAATTTTTATTAAAATCGGAAGACATGAGGTAAAAAAGTGCGTTGGTCTGACATGGAATGACCCATAAACAATAACCCAACATTTTCTCACCAGATATGGAAAAACCAATTTCTGAACTAACCATAGCTGAAGGGAAATTATTCTGAGTGCCCTGGCAAGTTGCATTTTGGAGGGTGAAATATGGGATAAAAAATGCAATTTTGCTAGTTGTAAAAACATGCTGTACATGTACGTGTATTGTAGGGCCTAAAAATAATATAAAAGTGATTTTTCAGTAGTATTTGTATTTTTTTCTTGTAAGGGTAAGGTACTTTTGTGACATTACTGCGCAGTTTGCCTTGATGACCTTTGAAAATAAGGCAAAAAATGAACTTTTGCAGCCTCAAAATTGCCCCAAAATGGCCAAAACACATAATGGCCCATAACCATGGCAACGAAGTCCTTTCATCCCACAGAGTATAAAACAATTCGATTTTTTGAGCGTGGACACATATGAAGTATTTACACAGAATGACTCTTAATAATCACAAGAACAAAATCAATCACGATCCAAGATGGCTGCTATTAGACCCAAAAATTGCGCGCATTTTACGTTGTCTCCAGATATCATCAAGTAGTCTTGCCAAACCTCAGTATTGATGAGCTTCAAATTCACCAAGTTGCTAACTGGCACAGTTTCCCTATTAAAACCTAATGGACAATCATGTGAACAATGATAGCATTGTGATATTTAGCTCAGCAAACAAAATGGGGAAAATGAGCTGGCTGTCTGTAAACTGGGCTTAAATTAGGCGAAAGGTCGCCTAACGTGGGAGACTTGAATAAGTTCAAGAACCCCCCCCCCCCCCTCCCCCCCCCAAAAAAAAAATTAATAAATTGTTTACAATAATTTTGTCGATGTCTAAATGTTTTCTTTCCCATTAATTTTCTTTCCAATAATTTTGGGATTTTCCTTGAACTTTTTCAAGTCTCCCACGTTAGGCAACCCTTCACTAATTAGGCCAATTGACACCTCGTTATCCCTGGCGTTTTTGTTTGCAGGGCTAAATATCACAACGTTATCATTGTTCACATGATTTTCCGTAAGGTTTTAATATGGACACTGCGGCAGTCAGCATCTTGGTGAATTTGAAGCTCATCAATACTGAGGATTGGCAAGACTACTTGAAGATATCTGGCGACAAAGTAAAATGCGCGCAACTTTTGGGTATAATAGGAGCCATTTTGGATTGTTACTATGTCCTTATAATCATTCAGTTGCTCATATGCATTAGAAAATGTTATTCAAGTAAGGATGTGTAAGTAGCATCACCAAAAATTTTTTTTCAACAAATCAAAAATAAAAGATATACCCAAATTATGGCGAAAATATATTACACGGCAGGTATTAAAGATTTATGCAAATTAGGTATATTTAGGGTCAAAGTTAATGGTGGCATCCACCCACATCTTGTTTGTTATGATTCAAAAAATTGATTTAGCATGGATGCCAGCCATTACCCAAAAAATGCCGTGAAATTACTCTCCAGATTGACTTTTCCACATTTGGCTAGCCTACAATTTTTTATGTTGACCACTTGTTTAGTTGTTCTGTGTATGAGCTGTTTATAAATTATTCATTGAATTCACACATCTTGTTAATGAAAATCAGCATATTAATCTTAAAGAAATGTTTTTCACTACTGATTAGAATATTTATTGAATATTTTTCATCATTTTGTCGGTCTTTTTATGTTTTTTTGCCCATAACTTTTTTATGTAGTTTACATTCAACATCAATTAACCTATTTCTGTGACGTCACACTATTGTTAAAAGTGTAGATTATTTTCTCGAATCTACACTTTACTGTAGATTATTTTGAGAATCTACACCTAACTGTAGATTATTTTAAGAATCCACAGTTTTTGTTGTGAACAATTCCATGTATATTCCGGCACTAACAATTTCTTTTTTTTTTAAGTTTCAGTCCATTATAATGAAAAGAAAAAGAAATGTCAATGGTACTCAACAATTTTCGAAAGAATTTGACGTGTACCTGATTTTGATAAATACCCTACATGTACTACTTTAATTTTTTTAAATTTTTACACAAAATGTTCTCGTTTGACTTTTAATTTGCCGTGCCGATATTTTTAATAAATTATAAATTTTAACCTAAAGCGCAGTGTAAAATATTCCTTTTTTATGTTATTTGCAGTTCCCTTTATTTTTATCTTAAGTCTTATTTTTGTATTTTTATATTATTATCTATATGTTAATGCTGAAATTTTATTGATGCTAAAAATTCAATTTTTATTTTTTTGTCTTCAAATTTGCATTATAAGAAAATCAGTGGATACCCTTCAGTTAAAGAATATGTGCACATCTTTTGTTATCAAAATGACAATCATAAATAGAATGGACGATTAACTAACGAAATCAAATGAAACTCATAAACGTCTCAGAGTATATTCCAATGTAACGTATTTTCCAAGCAAAATTGGTGAGTGAGATGGTGAGTGAGATGGGCATATTCCGATGTGTAGCCTACTCCACAAATATCATGATATCAAGGTAAAGAAATGTGGTTCCCATTGAATGGCCAATGACATATGGTTCCACAAATCAAAAAGCTCTATGCACAAATGAGTTGCTTCCCAACTTTTTCTTGTGCCTGGTGATTGAACTCCTCACATCAATCCCGTAAAAAAACAGCATCAAAGAATTTTCCGGTATAATCCTCAAGCTGTAACATACAAGTGCGAAATCTCCATTTGGCTTTGGGAGTAAGGAAAGACAGTGTATTCGCACTAAACACTTCTGATCGTGAATGTGTGTGTGACTTACCATGAGGACAAATGTACTGTGCAATTGATGAATGGAACAAAAGATGTGCACCCATCCGAAGGGTTAACAATAGGACCTTGTTACGATGCAAGCGCAGGGCCAGGCAAAGTTGACTAGATTGTATGAATCTACACTTATTCACAAGTGTGGTAAACCAGGGATCTTATTTGCATAAACTGTTGTTGTTTTAAGAAATAGGTTAAGTCAGAGAATAGACTCGGAACTGAAGATTCGTTCAGTTCCTCGTCCATTCTCTATAACAGAAAAACATGTCATTAATCAAAAAGCCAAAATTATATTTACCGTTTTCATATTTTAATAATAAACAGCTGTCAAACCATATCTTCCACCTGAAAAAAAGGATGTTTATGTTTTGCTATAACAAGAAAAGACCTGAAGGCTTGTAAGTAGAACCTAACCTTCATTCTTCAGGCACCCTTGTGAATCTACAAAATCTCACACCACCAAAGTTTGAGGTAGAATTACATTGTATGTAAGACACCTAACAGTTTACATTGACCATCAGTGTTTCATGTTTTACCGTTACAGCTACCCACAGCTACCTGAAAGACACAACACTGTTAGTCTCATTGGTGGTGGCTGTCGGTGGGTGTTGGTTCGCCTACGTCCAGCATAGATATTCTCAGTCCCACATCAAGCAGATGCTGGGGGACATGGAAGGGCTTCAGAAGGCTGAGGATGCACTCAGTGAAATGCAGGAAAAGTAAGACCTTGCTCTTGTCGATGTGAATAGTCATTTAATTAGATGATATTTTATACCACATATTTTGACAATGTTAAACCATCCCCGTCCCGCCCCAAAAAGCCACCCTAAAACATCTGCCTTATCTGTGTTTTTTTATGTTTTGGGTATCAGGGTAAAGATAAGAGCTTTTTCATTCAAATACTGCAAAAAAAATCATGAAAATAGCACTTTGGGTTGCTGAGAAAATGTCATTTATATAAAAGTAGTCATTTTTCACCAACTACTTCAAACAGTGAAACATTTAACTTTAAGCCTACTGTGGAATTATCATTCTTTAAATTTCTTTAGTATTTTGACGTATTCATGATGCTGAAAGTGTTTAGAATAGGACTAAAAGAAGGACAAGATACGGTACCTGTTCAGGTGGAAAATAAAAGGTATATCCATCAAATTCATTTGTATAGTTAACTATAGCAATATTGTGTGCCGTGTTGTTTGAAAGGATTAGGACATGCACGATTAGGTACAGTGACAATCCCTTACTGTGACAATCCCTTACTGTGACAATCCCTTACTGTGAACTGTGGGAATTGGTGTGTGTACAGGATGAAAAATGACTACTTTTACATAATTGGCATTTTCTCAGCAACCCAAAGTGCTGTTTTCATGATTTTTTTTTCAGTATTTAAAAGAAAAAGCTCTCAGCTTTAATCTGATACCGAAAACATGAAAAACTTAACTGATCCCTTTTTTATTTTTAAGGGCAAGTGTTTTGGGATTGCGTTTGTCTGGGGGGTCAAGCTGTATATTCCCCTCTGTCATGAGATTCACATGTTTGGTCATGCATGTATAACATTTGCCACATAAGTACTTAAAGGTACAGTCCATCCGTCATTTTTAATATGTGTATTATGTAAGTTTGAAGCAACAAAAGTGCTGAAAATCTAAAAAGAGTGCCAAACTACTTTGCTGAATTAAAAACGAACCTATTTTACAAGAAATTTCCAGCAACCACTGTTTTCTTCAAAATGATAGCTTACCAAAAAGAATAATTTCACAGGGAGTTTAGGCCCATTATTATCTTTAAACCAAGTATGCTTTTCAACAAAAGTTACATCAGTTACTTTTTGGAGAGCTGCAGATGGTCGATCGACTGTCGCTTTCACTTGCAGGATGATGCAGTGCATATAAACTTTAGGGGTAATTGACAGTCTCTTTCTAATTATCGTGTATCCATAATTTAAGGGCAAATAAGTAACAATGTCTGTCTTAATTTCCAATCTGTACTGATGCAAAAATAAAGGAACACCTTAATAAAAGATATATATATATATCAATAAAAGACAAATATATCTATACATTTTGGGTTAATCGTCCTTCACACTGGCAGCAGAAGCTGAATTGCGAAGGACGCAACGACAACATGGTCGAACCAAAGACATGTACATTGTAACTAAGGGTGCCTTAGTCTGCCACCATATGACCCCATGACTTACCACAGAGCACAGCCAGATCAAAGGGATGATTTTTACAAAAAGTGGAAAACCAGAGAAGCCAGAGAGAAATCCTTGCGACACAGGAAAAAATTCATGAAATCCCAGCTGGAAATCAAACTGGGCCACAGCACTTACAGGCAAGTGCTTTATGCATTGCACCCTTATCCTTCATGAACTTCATCGGCTTCCAGTTCACCTTCTATCACCGCGACAGCCGACTGCGTAAACTACAAGACTCAACAACACTTACACAACAACATAGTAGTGTATGAACAAGTGATGTCATGATGACGTCATCATGGCTCACGTGACGTCATTTTAAAAGTTGATATTTCAAAGCCCAATATCTACAGAACGGTAAGTCTGATTGGGTTGAAACTTTGTACGTAGGTAGACCGGGACGTGTTATAGATAAAAATTGAGGTAACGTCATCATGACATCATCTTGTGATTTTATAAATATTTTTGAAGTTTTGAAAGAGTTTTACCATATCTCACTGACACAATAGGCTAGATTCAAAATTCTTTTTGTATTAGGTTTGTTAAGCAATAGGTATATGCACAAAATTTGGAAAAATGTGTGACGTCATGATGACATCATCAAAAATGCGATTTTGTAAAGCACATAAGGGAATGTCCGATTGTCATGAAACTTAGTGGGTGGGTAGATAATAGTACTAGTGCACAAAGTCTGGAATGACGTCACAATGACATCATCGGTAGATTTTTTAATATTATTTTTTCTTTAATATTTACAATTTTATTCTGCTTACAAAATTTAACATTTTGATTCATCCGATTGGCTTCAAACTTGGTACTAAGGATGTGAATCTACGTTTAATTTAATAAACATTTTGGAAAATTTTTCGGTAGCGTTTAAACGTTTAGCCAACACTTTAAAAGGACTGCCGCCTGTGTCCCAGTATATGTGCGGTAACTGCAGTCATCTGTGTTTGTAGTTTTGTATATACACTTGTACACACTTTAACCACCATTTTTTCTATGTTCTTTTTAAGTCTGTTGGCTTAATAGACAAAGAAGAAATGAATCGTCTGCAAGTGTTGTTGAATCAAGTGTTACTTCACGAAATGTCAAGGCCTGAAGAAGATCGGCGCTGTTCAGCTGCTGCCATGTCTGCAAAACTATACTCGTCTGAATTTCATTATTTTATTTTTTTTTGGTCGCTGTTCTTGCTGTTTTATCTTTCCTGTAACTGTTTTGCTGGATGAGCTAACAGCCCTACATATTCTGGAGCAGCAAATTGATCTTCAAAAACGAGGTAAAATGAGGTAAAACTGCCACATCTTGCTCTCGATAACAAGCCTCTTTTACTACTGAAGATAAAGGTGGTATTTCCGACACTTGCGTTCTATGATATAACTGTGCATTTTTATCGGGGAAACAGTTTGTAGTAACGGCTCTGTTGGAAGACTTCATTATGACAGAACATCCATACTTCGCCTTAAACCCACCTCATCTACCCTGAGGAGATTGCCTAGTCATTCTCTTGAGATTCTTCAAAACCTTGGGCTCCTTAAGCCAAGGCGTGGCCGCCGTGGGGGCTGCCACATACGTTGACAGATCCCACTTGTTTGCTCTGCAAGCAGGGAATATGTCCTGCATGCCAACTCCACCCGTTCAGAGCATAACCTGGTTAAGCTTCGAGCCTCACCAAACCCACAAAAGACTCTAACTCTAGAGCAACCCTTGTTGCTTCGCATGCTCCTTACTAATGCACAATCATTCAACAACAAGATGGAGGAACTTGAACTGGTTCTGCACTCCAACAAGGTGGACATTGCAATTGCAACAGAGAAATGGTTCACCGATGCAACTATCCAGGTAGCTAACATTCCTACATTTACTACCATCAGTAAATCTCGTCCGCACAAGCGAGGAGGTGGTGTTGCTATTTTTGCCAAGGATCATCTATCTGTGCATACATTGTCCGACCATGTCTGCGAGTTTGAATGTATGTGGCTGAAACTCGACGTAAAAAAGGCTAGATGCTCGGTGGCAAGTTTGTACATAGGTGTCATCTACTATCCACCTAATTCAACATATGAATGTGAGATTCTGGATCACATACATGTATGCAACACTGTAGATCACATTCGTGCGTCAGACATGTCAGCAATAATCACCCTCTTCGGTGACTTCAATGGCTTGAAATGTGACCCTATCGAGGCTAACTTGAGTATGACACAACTGATTTCATTCCCTATTGGTGGTAATGCTACCCTGGACAATATTTTCACCACCTCTGGGAGCTAGTGATCATTGCTGTGTCCTCCTCTCGGCGGTCTGTGAACTCCCTCAACAAAAAAAGGGCGCAACAAGCTTTCGACCCTACAGAGATTCTTCGGTGCGTTCGTTTGGGCAGTGGATAGTCGACTACGACTGGAGCAGTGCACTCACTGACTCATGTACTGACTCAGTGGGAAACTTCTTGACTACAGTTACAGATGCCTACAATTTCCATTTTCCCCTGGTAACCTCTGCACTGCAGAACAATGACAAACCTTGGATGACACATCGCTTGGAACGACAACACGCCTTCAGAAGTGTTAACATGGACAAATGGAGTTCACTTCGTAGCAAGATACGGTGGGAAATTAGGATTGCCAAGTGTGAGTTACACAAGCACACTGTCCAACATCTGAAGTGTAGCCAGCCTGGCAAATGGCACAGACAAATTCAAAAACTTTGCCAGATTAAATCCAAACGTACCATGATCCCTGGTGCTGACGTCGACCCAGAAACTACTTCTGAAACCATCAATGGCCACTTCGCTGATATATGCAATCAGTTGCCTGCCCTTGATCTCCAAGGGTTACCTTCATATCTACCAGCCAAGTCACCACCCCCTCTTATATACAGGGGCCAAGTGCTTAAGACCCTCAAGGGTCTGAAGCCAACCAAAGCTGGCCACCCCTCCGATTTGCCAGTACGACTGATCAGTGAGTTTTCTCATGAATTGGCTGACCCTCTCACCGACTTGTACAACGCCTGCCTACTTGAAGGAAAATTTCCCTCCATTTGGAAGACAGCAACTATTGTGCCCATTCCTAAGGAGAGGAATATCGAGCCTTGACCAGCTTCGGACAATCTCCCTCACACCGATTTCCGCAAGAGTGTTTAAAACCTTTCCTGCAAAGAGGATCCGCGAAGACATTTCTTCAAAGCTGGATGTCAATCAGTATGGCAACGTCAAAGGCAGCTCCACCGTGCACTATCTCGTGGATATGCTTAACTTTGTGCATGAGGGACTTGATAAGCCTGGTCATTTTGCTAACCTTTGTGCCATAGATTTTACGAAGGCTTTTGATCGGGTGAACCATAACATTGTCATTCGAAAGCTCATTGAACTTGGAGTTAGACATTCTATCATTCCCACTGTCTGCAGTTTCCTCACTGAGCGTACCCATAATACTAAGCTCTGCAGCCACTTGTCAAAGACTCAGGGTATTTCTTGTGGGGTTCCCCAAGGCACCAAATTGGGTCCAATTCTGTTTCTGATTTTGGTTAATGACGCATCAGCTGAAAACTGCAGACATTGGAAATATGCTGATGATTTAACTATAGGTGAAGTAGTGAAGCATGGCCCACCATCTCACATGCAAAGCTATCTTGATGACTTGTCAAGTTGGTGTTTGACAACAATGTACTTCCAAAGCCATCTAAATGTCAGACCATGACAGTAAGTTTTTTGAAGCGTGACACTCCTCGGTCCTTATTTAAACTTGATGCCACAGCATTGAATTCTGTGACCTCTATGAAGTTACTTGGTGTTACTGTACAAAACGACCTGAAATGGGACATCCATACCACAGATATTGTCTCTCGGGCATCCCGTAGGTTGTTCACTTTGGGTATTTTTAAGAAGGCTAATATACCCACCTCTCACATGGTTGCTGTGTACACTGGCTACATAAGGCCCATTTTAGAGTATGCAAGTCAGGTTTGGCACAGTTCTATAAGTGTCCGCCAAAGTGATGCCATTGAAAGCATACAGAAACGTGCAGTGCGTATCATTCTAGGCCATGGCTATGACTCCTACACCGCAGTACTCAGCGTGCTTGGTTGCCTACCCTTAAATCTAGGAGGGAGGATCTGTTGATTAAGTTTGGTAACAAACTGCTTAACTCTAATAGATTTAGAGGCATGCTGCACAAACGTGAAACATTCATTATTTGTTTTATATAACACCTGAAAAAAATCCTTGTCGTCTGATTGATTGACTTTTAATAGCCAATTTATTCAGGTTAAAAACTGTTTAAAAGTTCGACAAGTTCATCATACATGTATTTATATTAATGCAAACTGTTCAACAGGTTGAGAACAATCATTTTAAGGCCCTATATTTACAGAACCGGAAGTCCGAATTGGTTCAAACTCAATCTGCATGTATTCCAGAACGTGTTAATGACAAAAATTGCAGTGACGTCATCATGTGATGTCATCGTGTGATTTTATACGAATTATTGAATTTTTTGACCTTTTAGTCATATTTCATCTACGGAACATGATAAATTCTTTTTGTAATAGGTTTCACAAACAAAAATTTAACAAAAATTTCGAAAAATGTGTGACGTGTCATCATGACGTCATAAAAATACGTATTTTTTTTAACACATATAAGGGTATGTCCAATCGTTATGAAACTTGCTGGGTAGGTAGATATTGATAAAAGTGTTCAAAATCTGAAGTGGCGTTGTCATGACGTGATCATCTTATTTTTTATTAATTTAAAATTTTTAATATTTTCTTCTTATTACAAAAAATTACATAAAATACATCAAGGAGTAGGCACAGACCGAGACCTTTAGCTTGTATTGTTTCTAAACAAGTTATGTCGTGATTTGACGTCATGTACATTTTGCTAATTTATAACACCAAATTCACTTCTACACAGCCCCATATTTTTAGAAGAATACACATGTACATGTGCATTCGAATTGGATGAAACTCCTACATGGCAGTGGTTGCTAAAACGGTAGAAACAGCTCTGTGTTTGTCCACAAACACATGTCTAGTTTATACTTTCTCCAGCCATTCATTCTAGCAAAGTTCATGGTTTCTATTCTCCTATTTTGTCTTCTGTTTGTTGTCTCTACAATTTGAGTGAGTTTTTGTAACATTTGGTTGGTTCGTGATATTTCTTGGTCGTTATTGGTAAATTTGGGAGCGAGGCCTTCGCACAGCACAGGTTGCTGGTCGCTCACTTCCATACACGGCATTTACAAGGCTGTGTCCCTTAGGCTTCAGGTTGCAAGTAACTCACACCGTACCCAACTAGCGAGGCTTGGCACTGGTTGCAAGCTACTTGCGTTCTACGTTTATAGGACCATTATTTAACATGAGACTCTGCACAGGCTGCAAGTAGCTCACGCGGTACTGAGCCAGTGAGGCTTTGCACAGGCTGCAAGTTACTCACTATATGCTCATACTATACAACTGCTGGCATGAGGTTTTACATAGACTGAAAGTCACCAACGCTGTACCCAACAAGTGAGGCTTTGCATGGGGGAGCGTCGCACGAACTGCAAGCCGCTCACTCCCTACGCACGCTACAAATTACCGACCCATTCATGTGATATTTCACTACGTAGCAAATCCCTCATGCTGCACCGAATATTTGTAACTTTCACCTTCAAAACAAACACCTGTTATTTAACTGGCACTTTTGTTATCTCACAGCCGTGCTGACCAATGGGCGAGACTTCCTATTGACTGCAAGTTGTTTACTCCTATAACACATGTCACAGTTACCCCTTTATTTTAAGGACTGTGACTGGAAAGATAAAGGATCAGACTGCAAACACCAAATAATCACAGCACTTGATCAGAAACCTTTTCTCACGCAATGGCCGTCCGGGGGCGAGTTCCGGCGGTCTGTTTTTGACGCGAGTATTTTCATTGTTCTCACGCGCGAACAGCGGGAACACGACCCACGAAGACTGCACTCCGAACAGGATCTCACACCACCAACCCATCAGGGTTTGCAAACATGATATACCCGTGTCAAGAAAAAGACCCGCCCGAACTCGGCCAATGAGTGCTTGCCAGTTGCCAGATGATACTTCTTTCATATTATATTCTAGATTTTTTTGTTCTTTCTCTCCGGGATGCCAAAATATTTTTGTTACATTTTATCTCTTATTTTAAGGTAACATGTTTTCAATAATAATCGAAGTACACGCGTACCATCTGGTGGAGCATCTGAACTTCTGAAACATGTTTTGCCCGAAATAAAAAAAGAAAGTAATACAAATTTGATGCAGCCTCAAAAAGGAAGCAGGTGGGCCATTGAGGGTTATTGGTGGTTTTCACGGAATGGATGGAGCAACAACAAAACTTGAATCAGTTCTTAAAACAATATTCAGAATAATGAAAATGGTTAGACGGTTTCAGCTGAAACAAATTGCAGTTGTAATGCTGACACTCAAAACTTCCAAATAGGGGAATATAAATTATTTTTCTCTTCTTACAAAAGTTTGCAAACAGAAAGTCCTTCAATTTGATGAGACTTTCGATGCATGTTACAACAATTATGTAATCGGCCTGTGATGTATACAGGTGCTTAGCTCGTTTTGTCACTTGAAAATAAACGAGTAACTTCATAAATAAATAAATGAAATAAAACTATATTACATTAAATAAATTGTTATTTCTTTTGGTGATTATTTAGAACACATTGCGCCTGGAATATAGAAAACTTACCAAAACAGTATTTGCAGTTATTGCCGTCTTTATTTTGTGAGTCTTTTTTTTTTTTTTAATAAAAGTGTAATCAAAAATATAATCAACCTAAAGTACATGTAGGTATGAGAACGCTTCAACTTATCTGATACAATCCCTTATTCAAATTCTGCGTCACTGCTATTGAAGGGGGGAGGGGGAGTCTGTTTAAAAAAAAAGTTCACTTATGACAACTTTTCTTTAAGACGAACTGAAAGATGTGATGAACCATGAGATTCTCATCTGGAGTACGGTTTCATTATATTTTAATGAAGTTAATAACATTTGATCTTAAAACTTGATTTTTTCAAGTTGGACAAACTGTAATGAAAAGGTTTTGACATCCTGATGAGAAATAATGACAAAAATATAGAATATGCTTGTAATATGAAGCTTGAAAGAAGTATTATCTGGCAAACACTCCTTGCGTTTCGTCCTGTTTGCAGAGCGGGGGGGGGGGGTACAAGTGAATCATTGCGTATGAAAAGGTTTTTGACTGTGTCAATAGAGGGCGCTGTTTCTAATGTTTTTTCTCATGCAGAATTTTCAGAGATTTTACAGATTTTCTCATTCCCAAACAAACTGTGGATCGGGGAACAAAGTTTTTTAGATATGGTACATCATAGTCTACATGTCTGGGAAGTTTTATAAAATTCGGTGGACCAGATCGCCTATCTTGAAAACTAAAGCGTTTCGGCCTTTTGTCCCAAGGACCATAAGAACTGGACTACATGTAATTATTATTCACGTGGAGTGAATAATATACATAAGATGTGACCACAAAAAAAGGAAAATGAAAAATCTCCCCTTTTTTCCAATCACAGATTAGACAAAGCCCAGGAAGAGCATCAAACTGCAATCAGGGAGAAGCAGACCATAGAAGCTAAGCTGACTGATCAGATATCAAGGGCCATGCAGGAGGCAGAGAGGTTGAGAGAAGCAAGGAAAGCAGACGTGAAGGATGGAGGCTGCAACACGCAAGTTGAGCTGGAAGAGAAACTAAGACTAGCTGAAGAGGAATTAACACAGGTAATCAGTTGACTGAGGCAAGTATCTTCACCCACTGTAGCCTCTTCAGCGTGGGAAGTTTATAGCCCTCTTCACACGATGCCAAAAAACTTGCAATGATGGAGAGATTTTTGCAATGATTGAGAAATATTACAAAATGGCCATCGTGTGAAGGAAAATCAATGCTTGAGAGTGACCAGCTTTCCTTGTGAATTCCTCTCAAATATTGAGATATTTTGGTGGAGGTCCCGACCTGCGACAAATCTTCCACTAGCGGAAGTTTTCGCACGGAATGCATGCTAATCCTTCATGTGCAACCAAACCCTTGTCAATTGAACAATGTCCCTTGCGAAAGGCTGTCCAGTGCGCATGCGTGGTGACGTACCTCTGCACACACGTGCATGCATGCTGTATACGTGTGCAAATAAGGATGGCAAAGTTCAGTATGCAGGCGATCATGTATGTACGGGCCCGCTTCCAAAATCCACTTTTGAATTATTTGACCAACCAAACTAGTTGGCGACATTAAGAACATGCATGTATGTCATAGATAAAGCGCAGGGTTTTGAATTTTTTAGGGCCATTTGGAGGGGAATTGACGATGACAAGGACAAAATGCACCACGAAAATAAAGATGGGAATTACTGCGCGATGTACCTGAGCACGCAGGTTCTGCTACACGGCACCAACCGGCCCATAAACCACATAGGAAAATCTTAATTTCTATTCCAAGAAACTGTTCATTCAAAAATTACCAAAAAAAGTGTAATTACATTCAAAGATATCTGCTTTAGGTTGGCAGCGTCATTTTTTAGGAATAAAAAACATTTTTGATTCTAATTTGATCGAAACAAAACAGGGGCCCTACACTACACAATCGCCAGTATGTGACAGTGCATGCTGTTCTGATACATTTCTTAAGCTCATTACATCACCGCAAACAAAAGAGACAGCTGAAAATTCAGCGAGAATAATAGGCTTCCTTCCTGGAGAAGGTATTGCCATGCATTTCGTCTTCTTTTCTGTCGAAATCTCCTTGGCATTGCTCTTTGTGGGCCACTTCATCCCCAATTTTTCTGTGTTTCTACAGTCGGTTTAATATTTGCAACTGCAAGGATAAAAATTCGCGCTACTGCACTGGTACTAGTACCATTTATCATTGCAAGTCCCATAGTGTAGTGGCAATCAGCGAATTGCACAATGTCCTCTCAAAGATCGATCTCGGCGTTGTGTTCGTTTTCATGTGAAGCCTTGCGAATGAAGTGGAGCGTGTAATGATAAGATAAACAATCTGCGCTCGTAAAATGAGTCTCAAACATTGTGAGTTTTTTCGTTGTCGTGTGAAGAGGGCTTAGTACTCAGCTTTTTTTATGGCATTTCATAGCCATAACCTATGTGCATTGGCATTGTACCTACCGGGTATCGGATCAGGGCTCAAATTTCATGAAAAATAAGTACTAGCCACATGGGCGTCGCCAGGATTTTTTCTAGAGGGTTGCAAAAAAAATTTTGGCCAAAAAATGCTTGTATTTCTCAACACATTCTCGATTTATCAGTTTTAGAGGGAGGCAGGGACATTTTGCGCCCCCCCCCGAACTCATTAAATTGACACCACTTTGTCTTCGCGCCTCTTTCTTTTCTTTTATCTTTCTTCCTTTTTGTTGTTGTTTTGTTTGTTTGTTTTTGCTTTTCCGGGGGGGGGGGGGGCAAGTGCCCCCCCTTGCCCCCCCTCGCGACGCCCATGACTAGACAGCAGGTCTAGTAACTGAAGAATCTTACTGGACCTGAACTATTTTATAAGACCTGTGTCATAAATAAGAAAAAACAACATTTTGCACTAGATGTATGTGACAGGAATACAACAAAATGCTATTTACGAGTCACCCATTTCGTGTGTGCACTTGGCTAGTTCCCCTGGAAAATTAGTCTAATTCTCTTGCTAGCGGGCAGAGGAGTCCTTCATTTGAAGAAAATCCAGGAGCCGAGCTATAAATCGCTCTCCTCAAATCCTTGAGGAGAGCAAATGGATTTTAAAATCCATGGATAAACAGCGGTGAAACGACAGTAAACATTGTTTTTGTTTTGTTTTGAATATCAGGATTTATTCAAGGGCTGCATTTTTATTAGTTTTTGCATAATAATATGCTCAGTTGGCGTAACTTCTTTTGTTTTTGTAATTGTAAGACAAGGTAAAATTTATATAAAAAAAGTAACTAAATGGAGATTAATAAAAGGTTTGACTTCTGCTTACGCTTTCATTTTTTAATACAGTTGTCAGTTGGTTCATCACTTAATTATACTTGGAAAATGGAGTTAATAAACGGCAGACAAACATGATATTAACAGCAACTGAATATTTGTTTTCAGATTCGTTAAAATTATATGAAAATTTGCAGCCTGAATTATTTCCATTGCACTACGAAAGCTATATATAAAGGGCCTCAAATATGACAAAAACTTGCCTTAAGTGTTATCGAAAATATTTGCCGTCAATAATCTTAAAAATAATGGAAAATGCAGGTCAATTATACCATATGCAAAATGCAAGACACGACGAGAAACTGGCTAACAATGTCTGAACTTCACTTGGTACAAGCGTGCGATGATGCACTGTGTGTTGTGGACTGGCAATGGGCCGGCAATGAGCTTCGTTTTACAGTATGAGATTTTGGTGAAACACGCTGCATCGTTTCACTTCATATACCAGTAGTACTTCCTCAAAATAAATTCATGAACACGGGAAATACAAGCACAGACAGGAAAGACCAAGTTCTGTGAATATAAGCTTGCAAAGATCGTCTTTCACCATCGATGTTTTCTTGGCATTTTTACGATGTCTATTCCGTCCGGCCTGCATGCAAAACACTGTACTGCAGTGTGCATGCACCGTGTGCGACTATTGCATTCACTGGTTACCGCATTTCCATCATGCCTTCTTTGGCCCTTAGTGCACGGCACGACGGGAACCAGTCACTGCTGCACTAGCACGTATGGGCCCAAGTGTTTTCATATATCGATGCAGCTCTGTATGTACGTTCACATCTGCAACTACCGTACCGCTAAAAAATACGGGCACTTTTCGCAATCGATTTAGCGCGAATATCTCATCGCGAACGCTGTGCCAAAAACTTAGGGGGGTCGCTGTAGCCGGGACGTGCTTCGTGAGATTGTGCGAGAAACACTGTGTAATGCAAGAGATTATGCGAGATTTGATTTGCCATTCGCAAATGCTTCGCGTGCGTTCATGTTCGTGGCCACCATTATTGTTACCGGTACTCCCTTAAAGATGTCGAACGTTTGCGGAATGTTATCATACACTTCCCAGTATGATGCTGATATAAATGTTCTCCTGCATCACAGATTTGTTACAAACACTTCGTGGATGGTACCGTAATTTCCTAGAATACATGCGAGCTCACGGTAATGCCGATAAGCAATGTCACTTGTCGCGGCAATCTTGTTGTTTAGTCCGTTCATAAATCAAAACCTGGCCCTCTTTCCACAAAAGATGTTTGTGCAAGTAAAGGCATAAACCTATTTGTACAAGCCACGATAAAACCAAAACAACCGAACCAAAATTGTATCAATGTGAGTACGTCTGGAATTGTATACAATGGGAAAGGCGCCTGTCTGGAAATGTAGCAATTTGGGAATGCGCACCCTTTGTGATCTCCAGCGCTCAGCGTGGGAACGTGCGCTGGCTAGCCCACAATTGTCACGTGACAAGCGGGTGAACAACCGCTAGTAAACAATCGGCCACTTGTTCCAAGAAGTTTCTCCCTGTTCGTACGCTCACCCAACCCGCCCTCCCCAAGGTTGGAGGTTGACGGGAATACAAGTAGTTAACTTACAATAGCCAAGCGCACGTGAAGGTTATTGGATATCAGTTGGTTTGGGCTTGACACGTAATTTTACTTGGTATAAATAATGGTTGGTTGGTTTGGGCTTGACACATTTTCCGAATGGGTCCCAGTTAGTGGAACATTGGTTGGTTGGTTTGGGCTTGATACACGTACATGAATGCATTTCCACACTAGGACCAAACGGAAAGAATAATGGTTGGTTGGTTTGGGGCTTGACACATCATTTCCCCGAATGGGGCTGTAGTTGGTTGAATATTGGTTGGTTGGTTTGGGCTTGATAGTCAACTACATGCTATATTAGGACCAAGAGGGAAGAATACAGGTTGGTTGGTTTGGGCTTGACACATCATTTCCCCGAATGCGGTCCTTAGTTGGCTGAATATTGGTTGGTTGGTTTGGGCTTGATACATAACTACATTCTATCTTAGGACCAAGAGGGAATGATATTGGTTGGTTGGTTTGGGCTTGACACATCATTTCCCCGAATGTGGTCCGTATAGTTGGCTGAATATTGGTTGGTTGGTTTGGGCTTGATACATAACTACATTCTATCCTAGGACCAATAGGGAAGAATTTTTATTGGTTGGCTTGGGCTTGACACATCATCTCCCCGAATGGGTCCTACTCAGTTGAATATTGGTTGTTTGGTTTGGGCTTGATATATCGATACCCTTCCAAACTAGGACCAAAAAGGAGAAAAATTGGCTGGTTGGCTTGGGCTTAACATAATTGCCCTGACGAGGTCCTATATATTGGAACATTGGTTAGTTGTAGACATGTACTTTTCTTTCTACAATCACCCAGATAATTTAAGTTGAGTAATAGGATTATGTTAAGTAAACCCTTGCACACATAGCGGGGTTGTTTTTTCCTCTGTGCCAGGGCTTGGTCAGGTGGTCACGAAAGTTGACCAGTTACCTTCGCCAGGCCTTGTCACGGGGTGCCCCGGGACGCCGGGGGAGGCATCGAGACCACGGGGCTCTCGGCCTCGGCGGAGTAACCATCCGCCGAATGGGGCGGCTGACCCAACCTCTCTCAGTCCCGGGAATAACCAGGATAATACTCGGGGGAACTAGTTTTGCATGGGTTCATATATAATAAGCCCCCTAGTTGGGGGAAAAGACCTGTTTGTTGCTTGAATTTACAAGTTTGCAGTTT